GAAAGAGGGTGTTTGTGAAGGGTGGTAGAACTTCCCTACATCTTGGGCTCCCACGCAATATTAAATATTGTAAGCTTACTGGGTTTGACAACTTGCTTTTTCGCTGGATGAAGGTCTTACCTCTGCCTGGAGATTGCTGAGGGCTTTATGGGCTGCTTCTTTCGGGAAGCTGGGAAATACATTGTCATGGACTGTATCTTTGTGAACTGGAAGTGGAAATTTTGGAGAGAAGGTCCTAAGGTGCCGTCAGCTTGGGCGCAGCACCGAGGGGCTGAGCCTCCCCAGCCGGGAGGCAGACATTCGGGTTGGGTGGTGTCTGAAATGCCCCCCCGGTACTGCCAGGAGCTGTGGCCGGAGCTCGGGGACTGGTGGCCGGCGGGGTGGGGGCATCGCGGGTCTCCTCTGAGGGCTGGCTGCCCTCTGGTGCCCACAGGGGAAAGTGCCGAGTGGTTTTGCTGTCCCAGGAAGGGTTCGTGTTCCCCAGGTGCAGGTGACTGCAGCCAACCTCTCTGTGCATCTTTGGGTACGAGGGGTTCGAGTTTTTCCTACACTAGATGGAAGACTTTCAGACAATAATGTTTTTGCATTTTAAAATTAATTTTAATTAAAATATGGGACACTTTTGGTGAAATTGTGGATGTATGGAGTTTTTAGTGGTTTGTAAACACCTGGTTTCTGCTGATGCAAGACTGAAGGCAATCCCTGAATGGTGATTCAAGCTCTTCTCATTTTCTGCTTAGCAGCTCTGCCTAGGCTCTTCAGTAGTAATCCTCTCTTTTAATATGCAGAAAATGATTACATCCCACATGTTGTTCTGTAGAAAATACTTCTTCCTTCTTCCAAAAAAAGAACGCAAACAAATTTAATGTCAGCTCATGTCTTCACTGGCAGCAGCAGGGCAGATGCAGTAAGAGAACTTAGATAAATAGCTCAAAGTTAGAGCAGAGGCACATGAGACACCAGAGGTCTAGTGAAGGCCATGTTACAAACATCTTCAGTATTCTGCATGGAAAGGATATTCCTTGTGAGTTTTGGAGCTGAAAGAAATCAAAGAGGGAATGTTATTTTCATGGGTGACCTGAATGTTATATAGAGGTGCACTGAGTGAGCCACCAAGGAAAAATCAGCATCATGTAATTACAGGAAGATATGTGGAGATGTGTGTCCTCATTTCTCTAATACAGGCAAAGATGACATGAACATCCCAAGCTCATTTTTTATAATTCAAGTTACAGAGAGTTTCCCGGAAACTGAATTCAAAAGGACAGTGTAGTTTTCTTTTGTTTGTTTGTTTTGTTTTTAAAAAGAAAATATCAAACCCTCTCCTGAAAAAGTATTTTTGGGACAAACCAGTTGGATTTCAAGTTGGCATGACTTTTAAATAAACTGAAATTCATACTATCTAGTAGCTGGGATGCAAAATTCCTTGTAAAGAATGCTCAAAATTTAGGAGGTGGAAGGAAAGAAGCGGTGTCACTTACATGCTCATTGCACAGATCCTCCAGTTTCTGTTAAAGCTGAGAATGGTTGCCATCTCCTCTTTAGTCAGTTCAAAGTCAAACACCTAGCAAGAGAAACAGCTGGAAATCACCTCTTTGAAAAATCAAACGGTGTGAAGAAAGACAAGATTAGAGAGCAGATCCACACCAGAGGGCCCATTTTCAGTCATGAACCACTGAATTAACACAGAGAGGAACAACTTTTTTATGGTCACAGTAACTGTTTTATGAACATTGCTTATTCTGTGTAAAACTTTTCTGGTGTGTTACTGTGTGTGGGCTCCAAACAAGCTGTGCCTGCTAATTCATCCACAAGCCAAAGAACAGGAAACATCATATAAGACCTGTTCATCTGCCCTCTCCCAAGGTAGGCCTGTCTTAATAACCCTCACTAGAGTGCAGGTAAGCATAAAGAAAGAAAAAGCCCAGGCCTCTTGCCTGAGGAGGATTTTGGAAGGGTAAGAAAGGTTCCTCGCTTGCTGTGCGGAGAGAAGCCATGCCACCCCTGAAGGGCAGCACCCAGCTCACTCATAGTCACACACCTTGAAGTTCTCCACAATGCGCTGTGGGGTGGCAGACTTGGGAATCACAATCACATTTCGCTGGATCTGGAAGCGAAGGACAACCTGCAGGAACAGACCACTGAGTCAGAGAGAGGACAGCTACTGGAGAAGGCAAGGCCTGTTCTAATACCTGCTTGCCATCAAGTGTATATTTCAGTAGAACTAAACCCTTTCTGTGGAGCTACAATTCACATCATTCCTGTCCCTGTGGCCTAGGTATCTCTTCCTAAAGGGCAAAGAGAAAGGAGGTGGAGACCCACATGGAAGGCCTCCTTTCCCATCCAACTTTGGGACAGTCAATTCTTTTTCTTCCCACCTGGACTCTCAGCAGTCTATGCAGGACTTTCATTCTCTGCAAGAGGACCTAAGAGCTGAAGTGACATCGGAAGATGGGTCAAGAATCTTTTTCTGCCTGAAGGCCAAAGAGGTAGTAGTAGTAGTAGTAGTAGTAGTAGTAGTAGTAGTAGTGGTATATCCTGCGAGCCATATAATAAACAAACTACATTGTTTAGGGAAAAATCAGAGGGCTGCAACAGTTCATAAGGAATGGATGTAGGCTTTTAGCTGCTCCTCACATCTGTTTCCTTTAATGGCTTTGTTACAGGAAGGAGTACCTGCTGTCTGGCACCTATGTACCTGTGCTGGGGTTTTGTTGTGCTTGGCTGCAATCTCTTTGATCTTGGGGTCATCCAGAAGGGAAGGATCCTCTGGCTTGGCCCTGCACAGGCAAAAGAAGATCAATGGTGTGGAACCTCCATAGAAAGATCCAAGGTAGCAACAGAGATATGTATCTAGATGAATGATTAATGGTCCACTTGTAGTCTCCATGCTTTAAGCATAATCTGTGCCAGCTCCCTTGCAAATTGCAAAGCAGTCTTACCATGGTCTGTCAGGAGAGCCAAGAGGACAGTACGCTGTCACAGCAATCCCTTTGGATTGACAGTACTTGATCAGCTTCTCCTGGGTGAGGTATGGATGACATTCGACCTGCCAACACAAAGGCACAGAGGCTGATAGTGACAGAACTGTTGTAATACTGCTGTGCTCCATGATTATCTCCTAATTCAATTAGAAGCTGCCTTTTGCCCTGATTTGCTGTGGCCTACATGATAACATGCGTTCTTAGTATTGAAGTGCTTATAGAGTTTTTTCAGTAGCGATTTCACAAAGCTCATCTCTGGGTTCTTTATTCTTCCAGAAAGAATGTTTTACAGGGAAATACTCTAATATTTGTAAACAGTGTTTCAGCAAAGTGAGACAAAGAAGGAAGAATCCCAGTGGCTTGTGTACCCAGAACTGTTCAGAGTGGGGTTTAAGAGTACATGCTGTTATCTACTTTGTTCTCCCTTTTTCCATCTCCTCATTCAACTGCAATCAGATCTTTATAATCCCTGAAAACTCTTCACCTGCAGTCACTTTGCAGCTTACCTGATTACTTGCAGGCTTATACTTCAGTCCAGGTTTGTTTAGGATTCTTTCAATCTGCTCATGGTTAAAGTTGGAGATACCAATTGCTTTTACCAGACCAGAATCCACCAGCTCTTCCATGGCCTATAATAAAGAACACCACCACCATAATCCCATATGTAAGACAAGTTGTGAAGAAGATGTTCTTCCTGATGTGAAGCCCCAGGTTCCTTTAAGAATTAGGGTTAAGGTTAGGGTTCATGGAACCACAACGCCTACAGCCACAGGGACACTGGGGCTGAAAAAGGCATACCAAGGGAAGCATTGCACTGCAGCAACTTGGCTTCTTAAACACTTTTTCCATTAAGCCACGCGTGGTGCTGGGGATCTCAGCCTTGGCCCCAGACTTCTTTTAAGAATTAGGGTTAGGGTTCAGAGAACCACAAAGCCTGCAGCCACAGGGAGACTGGCTCTGAAAAAGGCATGCCAAGGAAAGCATTGCACTTCAGCAACACCTTTCTCATTAAGATATGGGCTTTTCCCTGTTATTAGCAGCTCAAAATAACTTTTTAGAATTCTGAAGGTCTCTGAGGGAAAATGCAATACTGTTACATTAGTGCTGTCTCATCCGACCACCCAAGTCACTCACTGAGGTCGTGGAAAAATACACCAAGTTGCATGAGGAAGAGAATGATGCTCTGTAACCCACTGTTACGGAAGTACTGGAGGGCAGTGCCCCATACTGTAGGCAAGACCTCAATCTGAAATATCTTTATTTCTGTAAAGTGTATTTGAGCAATTCAGGGAGGGCAGAAGAACTGTGGTGATGATAATTGTACAGTTGTTATGGTCAAACAAAGAACTTTTTCTAACGTCAGCCTGGTCTGCAGCTCCACTGAAAGTGATTGTACAGCCGAATGTGGGTCAGGCACTAGGGGAATAGGAATAGCTAGGTCACCACTAACATGCACATTATGAAAAGCTACTTTGTACTGCTTTATGTTGCTACCAACTAATTTTGCATGCATGAGACAACAGTTCTGTTACTGCTGAAGGTAATGAAAACATTTGAAGAGCCTGATGAGGACAGAGGACATGACTCTTCTGCTGTGGCTGAACTTACCTCCCATGTCTGTAGAATATCAGTGTTGCTGGGTATAGCCATGCCTTTGTCGTCTTTGGGAAACAGCTCCTCTCCTGCCTGTCAATGAGAGAGATGCTTGAAATAATCTCTGCTGGGACACTAGCTATGTAAAAGAACCAAAGAGGAATGTAAGGAGCTAAAGCTAACAGCTAACATTTATACTGGAGTACATCTGTTGAAAAAGGTACTGCTGACTGATTTCCCATGGGGAGGCTCACTGTTTAAGTTGCTGTATTCAGAAAATTAGAACAGCCTGTAACTAGACAGCATGGCCAAAATGTTTTGAATGATTGGAATATTCTAGATGCCATAATATTATGCAGTTTCACTTGACAACTTTGTCCACATAAAGCTAACTAAAACAATAATGTGCAAATGAAATGAAGTTGAGGTCAAGAGTATTAGGTAGAACAGAGATTTTGATCTGAGTCTAGCAGAAAGGAAAGGCTAAGAGTATCTGTGTATATATATATAAAAATATATACAAAGTGACATAAATCCTTTGAAGTACATGTAGTCTGCGAAAGTTTGGTATCGAAAAGCCTCATCTTTTGAAATCCAAGGTCTGTGAAACAGCACTAAGGCTTCTACAGACAAGGTCAGCTCAATCTGGGCTATGTTAAGTACTTGATGATTAAAGAGTGAAATGGAAAGCAGAAGCATTTTCTTTTGCTTTATGATTCTGTAACATGCAGAAGAATTTTTGCCAGGCAGCAAAGCACAGGCCTCCTTCCCACAAAAGGTAATTTTCAGATTCAGACTTGTAAAAGAAAGAGA